GTATCAAAGCTAGAGCTATATCTAGAACTATATCTAGAGCTACATCAATATACAGCCTAGTAGTAAGGTACAGCCTGAGCTACATTCTCAATACTACTAGTTTCTGCTTGGTGTATTGGTTGTTGTAGTGCTTGGTGTATTGTTCTTGTATTGCTTGTTAGCTAGAGCTATATCTAGAGCTATATCTAGAGCTATATCTAGATACAGCCTAGTAAGCTACAGCCTGAGCTACATTCTAAATACTACTTTATACTGCTTGTTGTATTGGTTGTTGTATTGGTTGTTGTATTGTTCTTGTATTGTTCTTATATTTATTGTTTGGTGTATTGCTTGGTATATCAGAGCTATATCTAGAGCTAGTGTATATCTAGTAGAGCTATATCTAGATACAGCATACTACTATATGAAAAACAGAAGTAATACCAGAAGAAGTAGTAGTAGTACTTCCACCAAAACTCCTTGGAGGGAAGTGCAGCCCCTCAGAGCAGCTAGAAGCATTCTTTACACCAAAAGCTATGGTTTCTTGGTATCAGTCAGCCTCCGTATCAGGAGCTTCAGTATCAGTGGCTCCTCCGTATCTGCATCCTCCGTATCACCAGCTCATATCAGTGACTTGTATCAGTGACTCGTATCAGGGGCATATCAGCAGCTCGTCTCAGAGCCTCTGTATAAGCAGGTAGCCTCCATACAAGCAGCAAGCCTCCGGATCAGTCAGTAGCAGCATCCTCCACATCAGCATCTCCGTATTAGTGAGTCTCCATATCAGCATCCTCCATATCAGTGAGCGTCCTCTGTATCAGCAAGCCTCTGTATCAGTGAGCATCCTCTGTATCAGCAGGCCTCCATATCAGTGAGCATCCTCTGTATCAGTGAGCTTCCTCTGTATCAGTGAGCGTCCTCTGTATCAGTGAGCGTCCTCTGTATCAGTGAGCCTCCGTATCAGTGAGTATCCTCCATATCAGCGACCTGTATCAGCAGACACTGTATCAGGGAGCATCTGTATCAGCATCCTCAGTACCAGCAGCCTCTGTATCAGCATCTTCCGTATCAGCATCATCCTCCATATCAGCAACTGATCCGTATMAGTATCATCCTCCATATCAGCAACTCATCCGTACCAGCAAGTGTCCTCCATATCAGTGAGCAAGCCTTGTATCAGCATCCTCCTCATCAGCAAGCATCCTCTGTATCAGTGAGCCTCTGTATCCTCTGTATCATATCAGTGAGTCTCTGTATCATTGGGTGTCCTCCGTATCTGTTAGCAGCATCCGTATCAGCATCCTCTGTAACAGCAATATCAGCATCCGTATCAGCATCCTCTGTAACAGCGATATCAGAGTCCATATTGCCATCCTCCATATCAGCAACCTCTGTATCACCATCCTCCATAACAGCAACTCGTATCAGCCTCTGTATCACCATCCTCCATATCAGCAGCCTYCATATCAGCATCCAACGTATCAGTGAGCCTCCGTATCAGCAACTCGTCCTCCATATCAGCATCCTCCATATCAGTGAGCCTCCGTATCAGTGAGCCTCCGTATCAGAAACTTCTCCTCTGTATCAGTGAGCCTCCATATCAGCATCCTTGTCTGTATCAGCAACTTGTATTAGCAAGCATCCTCCGTATTTTGTGATAACACAAGAAGGAAGCAGAATAGTGATCAGAAAATATTAGTTTGCACCTCCATGCATCCAGTTGCATTGTTGCATTTTCATGTAGTATTCAATGGATGAAAATGCACCTTGGAGGCAAAGGAAAAAAACTCCATGAAAATAGTAGGCAGTACAGGTTTTGCGTGGTAAATTTGCACACAAAATAGTCATTACATGTGCAAAAGTAGTGGTACCAACTATGGTACTGGTTGATTTGGGGGTTAGAGCCTATATAGTACATTTTGCCACAGCTGGCATGGCAATAATGAGAATGCAACTTTAGTTGCAAATGACTAGTAGTACCGTGGGGGTATTCGACCATAATGCAACTAAATATGCAACAGTAGGAAATCATGTACAAGTCTATGTACGTGTACATAGTACTGATTTCTGCTGCCAGCATACCATCACATTCAGCAGAATAGAGTGAAAAATTTGCTAACTCCATATCCGTAACTTGATTGAGCAGAATTACTTTCATTTACAAGCTAAAGGCAATCTCCATACTAAACAGACATATGAGGGAGTTAATTCTTGACAAAAACTATTATCTATTACATTATACTAAGCTCTTAAAGGAGACAAGCAGTTAGCACCAGCAACTTGTATCAGCATCCTCCATATCAGCAAGCCTCCATAACAGCAACTTGTATCAGCCTTTGTATCAGCAGCTCATATCAGCGGCTTTTATCAGCAGCTTGTATCAGCAGCTTGTATCAGAGCCTCTGTATCAACATCCTCTGTATCAGCAGCAGCAAGTTTCCGTGTCAGCACCAAGCTTCCGTATCAGCGGACACTATCAGCGGGCGCTATCAGCAGACCTCATACTATCAGCAGAAGCCTCTGTATCAACAGCTCCTCTGTATCAGCAGGGAGCTTCCCTATCATCATCTCTGTATCAGTGAGCCTCCGTATCAGCATCCTCCATATCGGTGACTCATACTATCAGCATCCTCCGTATCACCAGCTCCTCCGTACAACCGACTCGTATCAGCGGCTGCTATCAGAGACTCTGTATCAGCAAGCATCCTCTGTATCAGTGAGCAAGCCTCTTATCAGCATCCTCCTCCGCATCAGCAACTCATATCAGCGGACACCGTATCAGCGGCTTGTATCAGAGGCTCCTTGTATCAGCGACTTGTATCAGGGACTCCTATCACTGACTCCTCTGTATCAGAAGCAAGCCTCCATATCAGCATCCTTTGTATCAGCAACTCATATCAGCAGACACTGTATCAGCGGACGCCATATCAGCAGGGAGACTCTGTCATATCAGCATCCTCAGTATCACCGAGCCTCCGTACATTATACTAAGCTCTTAAAGGGGGGCAAGCAGTTAGGACCAGCTACTCATATCAGTGACTTGTATCAGCAGCTTATCAGCGGCTCATATCAGATGCTTGTATCAGTGGCTCATATCAGAGCCTCCGTATCAGCAAGCCTCCTTATCAGCGTCTGTATCAGCATCCTCTGTATCAGTGAGCCTCTGTATCAGCAACTCGTATCCATATCAGCAAGCTTCCTCCATATCAGCGGCTCCTCCCTATCAGCAATCCTCCGTATCAGCGAGCCTCTGTATCAGTGKCTCCTCCGTATCAGCAGCTCCTTTGTATCACCGGCTTGTATCAGCGGCTCCTCCGTATCAGCATCCTCTGTATCACTGGCTCCTCCGTATCAGCATCCTCTGTATCAGTGAGTGTCCTCTGTATCAGCAAGCCTTCCTATCAGTATCCTCCGTATCAGCAAGCATCCTCCGTGTACTACTACTACTAGTACTAGTACTAGTAC